TGATACTTAACAAGCTACCCCCAAATTTAATAGTTTTAAATAACAAAATGATTTAAAAAAAAAAACCTCATAGTTTCCATGGGTCAGGAATTTGGGCACAGCTCAACTGCTTGGGTTTGGCTAAGGAAGTCTCATGAGGTTGCAGTCAAATTGAAGATAGGCAGCCATTTTGGGCTATGAGGCAGCAGAGCTATATGCTGAAGAAGGCAGAACAGCAGTTGCAAAGGATGCTGGGTCACGGCACCATGGAGCGCCACCCCGGGCTGGACTCGCCAGCCTCTGATCTTCTGTGGGAAGGAGAAATAAAATCCTGTCCTGTTTAAGTCACTGTTCTTTGGCCTCTTTCTGGAATAGGATTTCAACAGGGAGAGAAACAGGAAGGGCGTCCTCAGGAGGCTTATATCCTAGTGACTGTGAGCCAAGGTCTGGAGGTAGGACCCTACCTCTCAAGATGGTGTGGAAAGAAAAGACTCGCTGCCTAAGAAGGCCCCCCATTGAGAGACGCAGTCATTGCTAATACTCGTTCATCTTCCCTATTTGTTTTCTGCCCTGAGGGCGAGGAAGGCAGCTTACCCTTCCTTGTAGAGCGTGCGTGGCCCAGATTTATTTCTATCTTACTTCTCCCTTTGGAGGAGATTTACTTCCTCTGGAAATCAAACGTGGTGTCCTCAAGCCTTCGCCTGCGTGAGGAAACCCAGAGCTGTTCATTTAAAATTATGTAAAACAAAAATCAACAGCGAACTCTAGATCAGAGAGTTCTGTAGGGCCAGGGGGAGGGAGAGGGATCAAAAGGTGGGTGAGAAGAGCACAGGGGACTGTGGTGATGGTGCGCTGGTGACCTGGTGGTGGAAACTCTCTGGGGACTACACTTGAGAAAAGAAAGCAAACACTGTAAGAAAAAATAAATAACTAGAGCCTCCCTGGTGGCACAGCGGGTTGAGCGCAGCGCTGTGAAGCTGTCCGCAGCCTCTGCAGCGCCGGTTCGATCCCCGCCCGGCCTCGGAGCAACTCACATGGCGCGCAGACCTCTCCTGTCACACCCGCTGCTCCCCTCAGCAGTGTATTTCGTCAGTCTGCCTGCTCTGCTCCCCGCTCTGTCTCTGGTGAATCCTCTCACCCTCCTGCACCTCTGGCCTCTAAAAAAGAAAAAAGAAATAACTAAATAGAATTTAGTCAGGGCCCCAGAGCCCCGGCCCGCCTGCCTCCTCAGGGCTTTTATCTCACGTGCTTCTGCTCCCAGGAAGAGAGTCAGTCCTGTCACCCACCTCCCTCGCCACACTCTCTTCCGCTCTCAGGCCGAGGGCTGGCCCATCGAACAAGCAGGTCCTCTCTCCCCACCTGGGAGGACACTTCCTCCAAGCCCACAGGCTGGCTCCTGGTGTCCTAGGGGAATCCGAAAATCCTTTCCACTCCCAGGCCTGTGTTCAGTCCAGGAGATCAAGTGTTTGCCCTCCCTCACGCTGGGGAGATAAGCCTCCCAGAGAGAAAGCAGCGAGGGAAGAGGGAGCACCAGTCACACCTCCAAAAGGAGCCTCTTCCTGGGTCCCTGCGCGGCTGGCATGTCTCACCTGCAGGGACGCCATCTGCCTGGGCACTGGGCAGTGGACCCGTCATCTTGGGGAGCCGGAGGGGTGTGCACAGCAGGGGCGTGCTCTTGGCTTTGCAGAGGAGGAGGCAGGTCTCTGAGAGGCTGTCCCACCTCCCACAGCCCACAGGCTCCCCAGACACCCCTATCTGCTCTCCCCCAGGCTTCCCTGTTGGAAAGCTGGGGCCTTCCTCTCCCCCACGTTCTCCCTGATGCCAACAGTTGGTTCCTGGGTCCTCAGGGTGACAGCAGCTAAACTGAGTCAACAGGTCACCCAGCAAGCACAAGCACTTGCGCTTAGCCGACCTCTACTCTTAGCAAGGGTTCTCTCTTCTTGGCTGGGTCTGGGACTCTGGTTCCGGTCTTGCCACACACACCCTGATCCTGGTCCAGCTGTTCTCCCCACTTCAGTCGGCGTGATGGTTTAGCTCTTGAAACGCAAAGCAGCCTTCAGTGGCTCTACCGCCTGCCCCATGGATCCTGGAGGTTCGCCTGTCTCGTCCCGCTCCGACTCTCAGGCTTTGAGCAGTTTCTTGGGCTGCTATAAGAAATGACCACAATGCAATGACTTAAAATACCACAAACTGGGGACTTCCTGGTGGCACAAGGGGTTAAGCAAAGCACTGTGAGGCTCTCTGCAGTCTCTGCAGCACGAGTGAGTTTGATGGCCAGAGAGGTGACCCACATGGCACAGCAGACCTCTCCTGTCTTGCCCGCTGCTCCCCTCAGCAGCGTATTTCAGTCAGTCTGCCTGTTCTGCTCCCCGCTCTGTCTCTGGTGAGTCCTCTCACCCCCCCGCACCTCAGTTCTTCTATGCGTAAATAAACTTAAAAAAATAATAATAAAATACCACGAATTTCTTATCCTGCAGTCCTGGAGGTCACAAGCCCAAAATGGCCCGAATGGGTGTCGGCAGGATTGTGCTCCTTCTGGAGGCTGTAGGGAAATTTCTCCCACCCTTCCCTGCATCGAGAGGCTGCCTGGGCTCCTTGGCTGGTGGCCGTGCATCACTCAGCCCTCTGCCTCCCACGTCCTCACACACTCCTGCCTCCTCTCATGAGGACTCTTGTGAACACATTGAGCTCATCGAAAGAATCTAGAATAATGTTCCGTCTCAACATCCTCTACTTAATCACACGAAGATTCTCCTTTGTCGCATGAGGTACCCTGTTCACAGGTTCCGGGGGTCAGGAGCCCAGGATCTTTAGGGGCTGTCGTCCTGCTGACCAGTTTCCTTCAACATTTCACTCTTTCCTGGTGAAAATCAATCTGCAATGTCAGAAGGACATCATCTTGGTCATTCCAGGCTAATGAGCTTTGCCGGCCACATGTTCTAGGTCCTGGGAATCCCGGGATCATATTTTCTTCTGGGTTATTCTTTGCCTTTCTGTGAATTGTGAGATACTCATGTGATTTGAACGTGTTGTGCTGCCTTCCATCACTATTCCCAGGTCCCCTCACTGATTAAATCTCAGCATGAGTCAGTATTCCCCGACTGTCAGGATGATGGGGTGTCCCTTCCCTGAGCTCCCGCCTCCTGAACTCACTCCCTCCCAGAACTTGAAGTGGTCAGAGGTAGGTTTTCCAGCTCTGCAACCAGCACTTGTCTTGATGCATGGTACAGAGTGGATCTTCAATAAATGTTTGTTGAATGAATCTGAGTGGCAAAAGCTTTGTGCTCTTTCTAACTTCAAGGGTCATATGAGGGATGTCATTTAGACACCCTGTCTATGGTTGGGGCATGGGTGAATATATTTCAAATTGAGACTGTTCTAGAAAATTCCAAATGCAGAATTATCAAATGGTAATAATAAAAAACAACCCTATAAAAGATAACAAAAAAACTCGAGACAGGTGACTCATTCTAGCCTGGGGACCTAGAAAGACCTTGAAGCAAGAAGAGTGGGTCCTCCCCTGTAAGACAAGGGTGGGGAAATTTTTGAGCAGGGAAATTGTCTGAGGACAGGCAGAGTCTCGGAAGCTGCAGGGGAGACCACTTGGGGAATGCGAGACACGCTGTAGGAGGCCTGAAACACCCTTTGAGGCAATGGGGAAGCGTTGCGCTTTTCTGAGCTGGGGAGGCGACATCAGAATGCTGCCTCAGAAGACCCCTCTGGCTGCTGAACAGAGGCTGGACTTCGAAGAGGGCGACTGGAGGCAGGAGGCTAGCTAGGGGCCTGTGGCACGCACCAGTGGACCACGGACAGCTCGCACCTCGACCACGGTGAACGTGGATTTGCCTGGGGCAGCTGCGAGAGCCTGAATAGTGAAGCCGAGTGCAGGTGCGCTCCGAGTGGGGACAGATGCAGCTGAACACCTGCCCCCTTGTCTGGTCCGGGCAGCCCCGGGTGACGGAACGAGAGCTGGCTTCTAAGGCGGCTCTCACAGGGAGAGGCTGGGAGGCCCTGCACACGCGTGTTATTCCGTGTTCCTCATTTCCTCATCTGAGAAGTAGGGACACTACCCACCGTGTTTCACTCTTGGGCTCCCCATTGGATAGGGGGATGCCGGGATCCCCAGGACCTAGAACCTGTGACCGGCAAAGGTCATTAGCCTGGAATGACCAAGACAATGTCCTTCTTATAGTGCAGATTGATTTTCACTAGGAAAGAGTGAAAACAAAAGGGGCTTCTGACCAGCTTCCATCTCAAGTCAAAGTTTTTTTAAAGGTGTTTAAAAATTTTTAATTCATTGCAGGTAAATGTTACTAGAAAAACGCAATGAGTTTCAGATATAAAATGACTCATCACGTTGCCAGTGTTAATATTGTTTCTCTACTCATCTTGCTGCAGGCTGGTAACAGGTGGTGAGCCTGCTCAGGTACCCACTCCACCTGCTGGGTAGGACTAACCTGTTTCCTCACTACTCAAAGGGAACCAGGAGCACCAGCCTCACCTGGGAACTTGCTAGAAAGTAGCATCTTTGACCCATCCTAGTCCTGCTGACCCAGACTGTTTTTAGCAAGATAGCCAGGTGATGCAGGTTTTGTGGCGGCTCGGAAGCAGCTGAGACTCTGGGAACATAGAATGGAGGAATTAACCAGAACCCTGCCCCTCAATCTCAGCTTCCCCTGGCACAAGAGCTGATGGCACAATCTTATTCCTGATGAGAAGGACCAACAACATAATTTGCAGGGCCCAATACAAATGGAAACATGGGCACCCCTTTAAAAACTGTCATTAAAAATTTGAAGATGTTAACAAGCAAGTCTGGGGGTCCTGCTGAATGTGGGGGTCTGGGTGATGGCACGGGTCCCAGGCCCGTAAAGCTGGCCTTGCTAATGGGGGTAGGGAAGGGTCGTTCTGGACTCATTCACGCTACTCAAGATAAGTTATAAGACTTCTGCTTTGTTTGATTCATTACTAATCACTATAATTAAAAAGCTCCGACCCTCATCCTTTTTGAAGTTTATTTTTCTTGATATGCAAATAGAAATGGTTCCAAATGGCTGTTGTTCCAGTGGAAAGAATTCTCTCAAAAAATACAAATAGGATGTGTCTATTATACACGAATGGAAGCTCTATAGAAAGACAACTTGTGCTCATTTATTTTATTGACAGTGTACAGATTTTGATATATTGCATTACAATACTGACTGCTAGATTTCTTATAAAGATTTAGTTCATATTTACTCTAGATTCGTCTTCACAATAAAAATAAACTCATGCCAGTGTTTAGTAACCAATAATAGCAATTCATTCAAATTTTTATGACAGTTTTATTAAACTAAGAATCTCATATCACAGAGCATTCACAGTGCAGGAGGTCACAGTTCTTGAAAAAATAAATAGTGGGATAAATATATTTATTATTTACAACTTTTCAACTCATTGCTCCTGCATTGTCTATGAGAGAGAATGAACAAAGATGGCGGCATTGGGCCCAACATGCTGGCAATGTCTTGTGGGGGGCTCAGGGATAGGTATCAGCCCCACAAGTTCTTGGTTTGGGTTGTTTTAAGGGGGTTCTTGCTCCACACAACAGCCCGCTGGTTCTATCTACCTGCCATCTGGTAAGTCACAGCTGGGCCCCAGGAAGATCCAATAACCCTGTAGAAGTCATGCCCAGCCTGGCTGTATCTGGGGTACCTGGCCTCTCTTGGCCGGGCCCCTTTTTTGGCAGCTTCTGCCTCTGCCCATGGACCTGGCCCCATCTGGCTGGCAGCCTCTTTCCGCTCTAGGTAACAAAGGTCTCTTTGTGTTTGAACACCCGGCAACTATTCATGGCCGCGAGCGGCTGGATGCCGGACACACTCAGAGGACGCTGGACAGGGAGGGTGTGCCCTGAACTGGTGGCCCAGACGAGCAGTCTCCTAAGGGGGATCCCCAAGGACCAGACACAGTTGCTCAGCCACAGCTCTGCCCACTGGGTTCCCCAATATGCTTGGTCCAAGCCAATGGAGGAAGCTCCAGGAGGTGATCAGCACCTCCCCTCCTGAAAAGAGGCCTCTGAAAGGCATGGGATGCCCCAGCAGCCAGCAGAGAACACACTAGAATATTTGGAAAAACAGAACTGCCACGCTCACACCCTGATCATTCCCAGTTGCAAGGGGACTGTGCGCCTGCCTGGATGCGCGGGAATTCCCGCCGTGGGAGTTTCTGGAGTAGGTGCAGGGAGCCCTGGGTCCCTCCGTGTACGCACAGAGGCTGACTATGCCCAAACCACGCAACTAGAAAGCAAACACTGCCTCTCTTGAGAGCCTACAAAAAAGTTTTCCAGTGGTGAGATGGGAAAATTACCTACTTTCTCCAGGATTAAGAATTTTATTGGCTTCAACCATGGAAAAGTCCCAAGCGACATGCTGCATAAAAAGCGACTGTTTGACTGCTGGCAACAGGGGGACGCGGGGCAGAGCACGCCTCGATCTGTCATCAGGCTTTTGATCAAGAGCAGCCAATCCCAGGCTTGCACCCCCAAGGGCTCCACTGTCACCTAGCTAGGTACAGGGTGATTTCACTCTTGGGGCACCGCCCCTGGCCCCCAGTCCTGTACCAGGGCACGAGACAGACAACATTTTCCTCCACCTGAGAGGATGCTTTCAGGTCCTGCTAAGGAGTGTGTGAAAAATACACCACTTAGACAAACAGATGGCCTCCGACGCACTAGGTAGGAGGTGAGAGATGGTGAGATGACACGCAGCACAGTCGCCAGCCCTGGCAGTGCATGAGGGGTTAGCAGGGACAGGGCAACCTTAGCAGAGACAGCGCAGCCTGAAGTCATTTCCCTTTGAAAAATAAAATTAGAATTTTCAAAATCCCCGTAAAATAACCAAAGCCCCAAACCACCAAGCAGGTGGGACGTTCTCCTGTCAGCCTCCAGGCCACGGTGAAGCACAGAACTAGTATCTTGACTTAGTTTTTCTTATTAAGAAGCAAATGGAACAACTTGACACCTTAAATCTCTATCCCCATGGACTGTGCCCCGGGTTCTCTGCGCAGCAGGGAGAGCGCCCCCTCCCCCACCCAGGCCAGTGGGCAAAACCAAGTCCAGTCTGTGGTGGGCTGGACCATGGAAAGACACCCTCGTTCCACCACCCGCATGAGTGACACAGTGGGGGCCCTTCTCCATGCTTTGAGATGGCCCCAAGGGAGGCTTCACGTTTGAGGGGTTCACGTGCCCCTCATGAAATCAGACATGCCAGAGAGTAAGATTTACTCCTGGTGGGGTGCTCAGGAGCTCTGGGAGAATCCAGAGAGAGGGGGGAGGGCACAGAGGCAGCATTGCGGGTCCAGGATGGGATGAGGGATAACAGACTTCCTGTCATCCCAAAGCTGCCCAGGCAGCACTTTTAGAAACACCTGGAATTTTCTAGGGGCACATGCAGCGATGAGGTTGCTGAGACATGGACCCTCTCAGGTGCCCTGGAGGCCTCAGCTAACTGCCCCCAGGGAAGGAAACTCACCCAGAGGTCCTGGTCAGAGGCATCAGCAAGACCAGGAATATTTAAATAATAGCCTGTGAGAACAATGCAAAGATTTTCACCCTAGGGAGCGAGTTCTTTTTGTTTATGGCAGCTACAAACTTTTGCTGAGTGCCTGCCCCATACACAGCACAGCCAGGGAGGAACTCAGCCCACAAGGGAAGGAAGGTGGGGGTGGGAGAGAAGAGCCAGCACCTTCCTCCCTGCCCCTCCCCTGCCCCCCAGCAGCAGGGCCCAGGGAGGGTGGCAGTCCTGTTAGCAGCAGCAACTTCTCTGCTGCTGATTCTCAGGGGTAATGGCCCCACGTGGCAGCAGGGCCACACTGCTCAGCACCTTCACCCCCTGCCACTCCCCTCCTGCCCATGGAAAGCAGCTTCCTCGCTGAAGCTGTGACTCTCCCCAGATCTTCCTGGGACGGGGGACAGCCACCCTCACAGTCCATGCCCCTTTGTCCACTCCCACCTGGAGGAGATGGGAGAGGCCCTGGGACTCGGAGCAGAGAAACGCCCAGAGCAAAGGGTGTTGTAAGGAGCTCCCCACACACATCCTGTCTAGATTTCCAGCCTGTTTGTGGGGTCTGGTGATCTCTGGATCTGGTGATCTCCTGCTGACACCATAAGCCTTGCAAAGCCAGAGGGGGCAGCCCAGGAGGGGGTCTGCAGCACTGCCCAGGAGTGACAAATGCCCCACCTGGCCTACCCAGGAGGGTTAGTGGCTTCTCAGCTGCTCAGGCTGTAAAGGCAGGGGATTGACACAGTCAAGACAGTCCTAACAGGCAGGCGATAAAGAAGAGGTGCAAACTCATAGGGGCCAGCAGACTGGGGGTTAGAGGAGAGGTGGAGGGGACAACTCTGAGGTGCTCTAGTGCCCCTGACCATGGTCTCACTGCCGCTGACCCCAAACCTCCCTCCAGGACCAGGTTCTCAGGGCACCGCCACGCACCTAGCCCTGACCCCGCTGTGCCGGTGAGGACAGGCCCAAACCAGAACTACCTGCTCTTGCTTCTAGAGACATCTTCTGAATGTAGTGATTTTTTTTTTTTCTTTTCTGCCCCCAATTAGAAGAGCTAAATTTATTTCGTCTTAACTGTCTATTTTTTGCAGCAGAGTAATTACCCCATGCTAATTAGCTTCAGGAATAAAATAAAGGAAGTAATCCTGCATAGCGAGGAAAGCATTATTTTAAAGTGAAGGTCTAATTAATCAAGCAACTCTTCAAACTTGTGGTGGAAAAATATTTAGTTAAAAAAGAGACATTTTCACCTACAGTGTATATATAGTTTCCTAGATACAATAGATGCTTAGATCCCTTAAGGAAGTCACATTGGCACATTCAAGTCCTAGGAGAATTAGCCACGAGGAATGCTCTACACACTAGAAATATTTTTTAGTCTCAAACTGTAGCTGTGGTATACTTTAAATCTCAGCTGGAGTCGCTGAGGAAGAGGTGGGTAATCGGGATGCGTTCTCTGAAAACTACGTGAAGATTTTGAGACGTCAGCGCCAGTGGGGACATCACTGGGGGTCCATCTAGTTTTTGGTCTGTATCAGGAAAAAAATGGAGCAATGATCGAATGGGGATAGATACTCGGGTATGAATGTGAGTTAATTAAATAACTGAGTTAATTAAATAAAATTAAATAACTGTGAATTAATTAAATATCTGATGAAGTTCTGACTTAAACAATAGAAGCCAACCACAAGGACAAAGGCATAACTACACCTGGCCCCACCAAAGGGTGGCCTACCCGTGTAACCCATCTAAACTGGCTGAGCTGGGAGGGCTGAGGACCTGGAGCTTGGGGCCTGCTCAGCTACTTGCTGGCCATTGACCAGAATCACTCACCGGGACCTAAGACGAAATTTGTTGTTAAAGATCATAGGGCAGTTTGAGAATCAGAACAGACAGATGCACTTGGAAGCCTGGATGAGTCTATGAGACGGAGAGGACTAGGTCAGCTGTGCTGGGAGACACAGAATGGTCCTGAGGCCTTCAACCCCCCTGGCATCTCCAGTTTACACCAATGACCCTTCAGGTTCCCTGGCCTCCCACTCAGATCATTGCACCATCCTCAACTTGAAGGCTGCTGGGCCCACTCTGCAGGCAGAGCAACAAAAAGAGAAACCTCAACTTGGTGTAGCTACTAACACTGATTCGGATCCAGAACAGATGCCTGTCCTGCCTTAGCCTCAAGCTAAAGGAAACTGACAGGACACAAGCTTGACTGCTTCCTCCTTCTGAAAGGCAGGCGCTGCACCTTCCAGAGCACAGCTGTGAAGTCCAGCGTGGGTCACTACCTTTGTGTCTCAGGAAGCAATTAGCAGCTCACCACCGGGACTAACGGCTGGTGAATGCTAAAAACCTTCCTTCCTCACACCCTCCTGGGCTGTTCCCATCCAGTGTTCCGTGCAAAATACCCCAATAATAAAAGTGCATCAAATTGGATAGACTTTTACAATAGAAACATTAAAAAAATAAAAAAAACCTCTATATAAAATTAATTGTGCTTTCTTTTAGAAACCACGAATGGTTTTGTGTTCATAAATCTCTTTAATATAGATTTGAGAGCTATGAAGCAATCGGAAATGGTTTAATATTTTCCTATCTAGCTTGGAATCAGCCTCCCAGACTTGGCTTTTCATGTGCAGCAAACTAGAAGGTTCAAGAAACAGCTCTAAAAATTCCAAGTTAGGGTTTTCATACTCGCCTCCAGCTAACCAGAAAACAATTCATTGTTTTTCAGGAAATCTCTCCTCTTGTCATTAAGCATTACTTCCGGCACTTTCCAGCTCAGCAGGCTGTGAGATTTGTTGGGCATATAAGCAACTGGGTCTTTCAACTAGGTGGTTCGGAGACAGAGCATTAACAAAGACATGACACACCCAAACCGCCTGGTCGCACGCATGGCCGGGAAGGTCTGGTAGGTACAGCTGTCACCTCCATGGCGCAGTGTCCCTGAGTGGGTGTCCCTTCCATGTGAGTCCTTCACTGGCTTGTATTCCAACCACGCGTCTTAGTGTCCACGCCACGCGGTACACACCAGATTCCCTTCCCATAAGCGTTACCTTGTTTGGGTCCCCACACTGGTCCTTTTTCTAAGGAATGGTATTTTTCAAGTATGATGACCTGTAGGACATTTAATTTTTAATATTTCACTGCTCATTCTCTGAATGCATCAGTCAGAGCGAGAATATTCACCTGTTTTTCTCTTTTCTGCTCTGAAAAGTGGTTTCCATTCTTGCAATTTTGCCCACAAAAGGGGTGGCATGTTTGTCGTCCAAACCCCACGCCCCACAGGTTGAGGCCTGGCCCCTCCAAATGGGGAGTGCTTCCAGCAGAAGTCGGAGGCTCCGAGTAAGTCCCACAGGCCGCCTGAGGGACACACCCCCTGGCCCAGGGACAACTCTGGAGGACAACACTCCTGTTTTGCACTTGCCCGGAAAACCTTGTGTTCACCAACAACCGCATTTCTCGGCCGCTGTGCAGCACAAAGACCAACCGCACACAGAAGTCCTTCTGGCAAAAGTGTCCGAGAGAGATGATGAGACACACCACATCCCCTCGGCTGGCAGCTCAGAGGCCTGCGAAGCTGCTCAGAGAGCACCCCAAGTCTTGCTTGGGGGTGGGAGGGCAGAACTCCCAGGATGAGGAGGGCGCCCAGCAGCCTGGCCCATGACCAAAGACCACGACGGCTCTTCTTCCAGTGTATGAAAGAGGGCAGCTGCCGATGCGGGAGACTTGGGGGGTCAGGGAGAGAGAGGGGATCAGGGCCACAGCGTCCAGAACAGCTCCCAGGGGCAGCAGCTCAGCTTTAATCGTCTTCTCGGCACATGGGCAAGTTGACAAAGGTGAAGACATTAAACTCTATCATTATGGAGAAGCACAAGAAGATGGCGTAGAGGACCAGCACGTAGACGCCCAGCTTCCGGTCCAGCCTCCACTTGTTCAGATGGATGCCGAGGACCTGGGGAGAGAGCGCAAGGATGGGCTCAGGGGCAGGAAAACACGCTAAGCACGTTCACTGGAAAACCACACAGGTTATGAATCCAGAGCGTTCTCCAAAACGGGGACAAGAGTGGAGGTGCTGCAGGCTTAGCCTTGGTTTGACCAACATGAATCCTACAGGCTTGTCTGATGAAATGGAGCACGCCTGGGCCAGCCCTGCTGGCCGGTCCTCACTCATATGGGCTGGAGACCTAAATGCAGAGGCGAAAGGCCACCAACAGGAATTCAAAACTACAGTTGTCTGAAGAAAAGCCTCGATGCTTCTCCATGTGCAAACTGCGCTATAACTAGCCAGTGAACTTCAGTCGGGTCCAGTTTCTTTGCCATTTGCCCACTCTTTAGCCAAAACAATTTAACCTCTTTGTTCTCAACCTTGGCCCTATATACCTACAGAACCTATACCTCATAACCTCCTTCCCTTTCTTAAGAGGGGAGACATTTCCATTTACCTCCTGCCTTCTTGCCAACTGATTTGCAATAAAACCTCCTTTTTTTAAAACCTGGTGCCATGGTATTTTGGCCTCTATGCGCACCAGGCAGTGAGCCTATTGCTTAGTAACAGTACCACTGAGAGGGGACCAGAAGGGGCAGCAAGAAAGAAGGAGATGTTGGGGCCTCCCTGGTGGCCTGAAGGGTTAGCAGCACTATGACGCCATCTGCAGCCTCTGCAGCACGAGTTTGATCCCCAGGCAGGGAGCTACCCACATGGTGAGGCAGACCTCTCCCGTCTCCCTGCTGCTCCCCTCAGCAGTGGATTTCACTAAATCATCTGTTCTGCTCCCCACTCTGTCTCTGGTGAATCCTCTTGCCCCCCCAACATGTCTGGCCTGCACCCCAGCTCTTGTATGTATAAATAAATAAATAAATCTTTAACCAATTTATACGTCTCCTCAGCTTTACCCCTCATCAGCAGGGGGAAGTGAGAGGAGCCATCAGAGACACCGGGCAGAATCAGATAAGGTGTGCAGGAGGCTCCTGTCTGGGTATTGTAAAAACTCACGGTGAGTGCCACGGAGCCCAGCAGCAGGACCACGGAGTAGACCAGCCCCCGGCTGTTGATCCGCACCTGAAACAACATACACAGGTCTGAGCCTCTGGGCTGCTCAGGGCCCCTCATTCCGGGAACTCAATGGGCTTGGGATTTTCCCTCCCACGTGGGAAGGATGGTGGGTATTCCTGGTGACGTGCGGCCACGGGGGGCAGCTCAGTGTGGACCAAAGTCTCGATGTTGCTTGTCTGAGGACACGGGCTGTGAGGTGCAGGCCCAGTGTCCATCCACTTACTAAGGAGCCCAGAGAAACTTACCGTGGATCCGTAATTAATAACCATGGTCTGCAGGCCCCAGGGTATGCCGAGTCCCACTAGGATGTCAAACACGTTGCTTCCTATGGTGTTGGAGACCGCCATGTCGCCAAGGCCTGGAAGGGACAATCAATAACTAACTGTCTCATGAAGAGCAGGTTGCTGGGAACCCCACTTCTTTCCCACAGCTGTTCTACTAGTGCTGCTTCTTAGAAAGGAATTCCTTCTTCATGACGCACCCCAAACCCACTCCCTACATGAAGTCTACAAAGGCCTATTACAGGTTGAACTGGGAAACAACCAAGATTCATATGCTTTTTAAGTCCCAACCCTCAGGACCTCGGAACATGCCCTTATTTGCAGCCAGGGTCTTTAGGGTGATAATCAAGCTAAAGTGAGGTCATTAGGGTGGGCCCTCATCTAGTACGACCGGTGTCCTTATAAAAAGGGGAACTCGGGCCCAGCAGCGTAAGGGGAGGACGCACATGAAGGTGAAGATGGTCATCCACATGCCAAGGAAAGAGGCCTGGATCAGACCCTCCACTCACAGCTCACTCACACCCCGGGGAGAACCAACCCTGCCAACACCTGACCTTGGACTTCCAGCTTCTAGAACTGAGAGACAGTGTCTGTCTTCATGCCTCTCAGTTTGAGGAACTTTGTTAGGGAAGCCCTGGGGATCCAATACAAGGGCCTCCATTGTTTCTCCAGCCAGGTTCATCAGCCAACATTCTCTGGGGACCTACTATGTGCTTCACCTCCTCACTCAGGGAGAGAGGGGACACTGTTGGCACATGGCAGGTGATGGAACAGGTTTGGGATATGCCCAGGGTCACAAGGTTTGGGGGCAGCCCCATGTCCCTCTCTGCCATGGTGTGTTCTTGTGGCCCGGACAAGGGCACCAAGGACCGTGGTTTGGATGATAGAGTGTCAGGTTTTACGGCCCTGGTGGCTTCTGAAGTGTGAGCTCTTTTCCCTCAAATGGACGAGCAGCCTTCTAGAGGTCAGGCCATGCCGTGGTCACCCTTTCAGCACAACTGTCGGTGTCGTGCCAGCCACACAGTCTGAGGGATTTCACCACTTCAGGGCTATTGGAAGTTAGAAAACAAACTTCTATAAATATGCCGCTGGCTAGATGCTGTTCTAACCTGGCCACTTCAACCTACTTTGGCATGACCGTCATAACCTGGCGCAGAGGCAAATGTCCATGGATGACGAGTCTGGACCACCGGTGCCTGGAGCCGTGGCTGTGATTGCGAGAAGCTCAAAGTAACTCGCACCAGCCACCGCACAGCTGACTCACTTCTGACCACCTGCCCTGCAGGTATAAGTCACCACCTCCTCCTGCTCTTGTTGTTTTTACCAGCTCACATTCAGGGCCAAACCCTCCCCCGCCTGCCCCAGCACTGCCGTGAGTGCCTGCAGAATCCTGGCAGCTGAGTCCCTGAGGGACAGCCTGTCCCCGGCCCACCGCCCCGGGTCTCAGTCTCTTGCACAGTGTAGGACGGCGCAGCGATCTCTGCCAACTAGCTACTAATTACTGGCGAGGAGGCAGGTGCTGACTGGACAGGTGGGGAGGCAGAAGGATGCTGCAGTGTGGGAGGAGGGGGTGCTTCTCAAGTTGCGCAGACGCTGCCCTCTCCGCACAGGTGCTGTCCTCTGCTGCCCTCTCCGCACAGGTGCTGTCCTCTGAGGAATCTCTGGGGGCGGTTCTCAAACTTTAAGAGCGCAGACTTCCCTAGGGGACTGGTGCAGGTTTGGGATCTGTGGGTCTGGGTGGGGCCCGAGAATCTGAACTTCTCACAAACTCCCTGGTAAAATCCAAGTGGCCAACCATGGACCACACTGGAGCTGTGAGACTTTTGGAAGAGTGAACCTATTAGAGATGTTCCGGGGACACCCCCACCCCTACTCCAGGCAGAGCAGGCAGAGTGTAAAGCCATCTGCTGCTCAGCCTTCAAGTCAGAACAGGCTCTGTCATGTTCTGTGAGGCAGCTATGCAGGAATCTGCTGCCTGTGGGGCCAACCTTTCACCCCCTCGCTAATGACCAAGGCGCCGGATAAAGACAGTCAGACAGGGGGCACCTGGCCTCTGTATCCCCGGTGGATTCTTTAGAGATCAGGACCGTGATTAAGCCCCAGCACCTGCCCTCTGTGCAGAAATGGCACGGACAGTTCTTTACATCAAGGTAACTAAGGAAATCAAAAGATCTAGATGTACAGAGAAAGACCAGAAGAGGGAAACCGGCCAGGAATAATTGCAGTTTGACATCCGTGACTCACTCTTCCCATCTACATAAACTCACCTCAGACTTGTGATAGTCTGAGCAGTTGTCACCGAGCAGAGTCTGTCAGGCTGCCTGGGTTCCAAGCCTCACTTTGATTATGAAATAAGCTCCTGAACTATCACCGAGACTGATTTCAACCAAAGGAGCCGGGTCGCAGGGCGCCCGTGTCACAGCTGGCTGCGTGGACGCCCCACCGAGGCTTCTGCGTCCTCTGTCGTCAGGACCTGCTCTAACCACGTCTGCCGAGCCTCTGTGGGTCACGTCACTGCCCCCCCATGCCAGCTGGACACTCCGCCCACCGGCCCTGTCCTTCCTCAGCAGGAAGTCACTTCTAAGTTCCACCGGACGCGCTCACAGTGACAGCCTCCTCCCCCAGGGCCCCACCCGCCCCTTATTCCTGCAGAACCCAAGCTCTGGGCCTGCTTAACCTCCCCAGCCCTTAACCTGCTGCCATCACCACCTTCAGCCTGGACGCAGGGCCAGGTGCTTGAGCTTCACATCCGCCACTGCCCGTGTCCACCCCGCCCGCCCCTGGCCTGCACCTGCCCCCTTTCATCTCGTCCCTGGAGCTGATATGACCGAATCCCACCCAGGCTCATGCCAATGAACGTCCGTCAGGCCCTGGTGCTCGTCACTGTCCTCTTCCTCACTGCACTGGGTCGAGGAGGGACCCCCACCCCCACAGCATGTCTATGTGGAACCTGTGCACAGGACCTAATTTGCAAATAGGGTTTTTGAAGCTGTTATCAAACGAAGGTGAGTCACCCCGAATCAGGACGGCCCTCGCCCCATGCCCGGCGATCTCACGAGAGGGAAGTTTGGACACATGCACGAAGTCAGAGGCCGAGACTGGAGTGACACGGCCCGGGCTTTCTACCAAAAGCTAGAAAGAGGCAAAGGCAGGGCTGGTCTTCCCCAAGAGCATTTGGAAGGAGCACGACCCTGGCAACACCCCGATTTTGGCTTTCTAGCCTCCAGACCCGGGAGATAACCCACTTTGGTTGTTCTGAGCCACCTACACGCGGTATTTTAGTTATAATCTCGTGAGGACCTGAACACACTCGCACGAGAGACCATACAATGATTTCTGTTCCCCTTAGGTGCTGCCCCCAGGCCTTCACATTCTCCGCAAGACTCCAGGCTGCACCGACCACACCCCCCACATTCCTTCCCTCAGCTCCCGCCTGCTCAGGACCCGCCACCCAGCGTCACCCCCTTCTGCTCTCTTGGAGGCTAAAATGTCGTCTCCCTCTTTCCAAACCAACTTTCTCCACGAGCGCGTCTCTCCTCCCCGTCTCCTCTGAGATTTCACTCCATCATCGGCTCCCCTGCACCCCCACACTTTCACCTGCGGGGAGCTGTAAAAGTCCCTGCAAGGATGTTATCGCCCGGCAGTAAGAAAACAGGAAAGAGAAGTCGGCTCTTTGTGGCTCTTTCGTTCTGCCATCAAGCAGCAGGTGCTCAGCCTGCTAAACCTGTCACTCAGGGCGCCCCAAAGAAATCCCCTCAGGTATTACACATGTTCTAGAGCTTTGAAGAACAGGAAAATATTGGAGGTATAGGATCTCCCACTTTGCCCTCCTGGGACCGGAGTGTATCTCATTACTACTCCACGGGCTAGAAGAAGTCTGGGGGGTCTGGTGAATGGACCGTGGTGGCATCTCCCTATGGAGGGAACCTAATACCTGAGGGTTCCCAGACATCACTGCGCTTCTGAGGCAGGACCTGTCAGTCATGAGTGACAACCGGGGCGGTGGTGAGAGGTTGCCTGGGGCTGCTAATGGCAGTGGGGGTGAGCGTGAGTCCTACCTTGTCTCGCCACAATTAAACTGGCCATGCAGTCTGGAACACTTGTGCCCGCTGCCAGGAAAGTGATGCCCATGATGACGTCAGGGATCCCCAGTGTGTATCCAATTATAGTCACCTGCAGAAGGAGGGAAACGTGAACTCACAGAGGAGCACCCCTGGAAATTGTGCTCACCCCGAGTGTTGGTAACAATGTAACCAACAGAAAAATCTAGAACATGGTTTTATGTTAAAATATCTTTTGAGTGTCCTTTTTTCCCCTGATATAATGAATGAGTAATAAAAGTTTAGAAAACAAAGTAAAATGAAAATTAAAAATCTCCTACCATTTGTCAAGACCCACAGACAGTCACATAGAAGGGAAACCTTTGTCTTTCTCCTTCTGACTTATTTTGCTTGGCATCATCCCCTCCAGAGTCATTCATGTTGTTGCAAATGGCAAGAGTTCATCTCTTTTTTATCGCTGAGTAGTATTCCACGTACCTATCACGTCTTCATTTAATCATCCACCCCTGGGCAATTAGGTTGTTCCCATAACTATTAGAAGTAGTGCTGCACTGAACAGAGGGGCGCATGTAGCCTATGTTCCTATACAAAATCAATATTTTTGCATTCTTTGGGTAGATGCCCGGAAAAGGGATTGCGAGATGGATGGCAGATCTGTTTTGAGCATTTTGAGGAGCCTCCACACTGTCGTCCACAGCAGCTGGGCCAGCCTTCCTTCCCCCAACATCCTCGCCAACGCTTGTTTTTGGTCTTTTTGATAAAGGCCATTCTCAGGGGTGAAATGTGGTCTTCATTTGCATTTTCCTGATGACAAGTGGCGATGACCTCTTCCCCATGTCCCCGCTGGCCACCTGGACGTCTTCCTTAGAGAAGTGTTTTCTGCCCAATTATTTGGTTGGGCTCTTGGGATTTTTTTTTCTACATTAATTTAAACTGATGTACAGGTACCATTGTCTGGCTATAGAGATTTAATCAATCTCATGCTCGAATACTGACATGCTTTCTTATTTTGTTCTTATAATACCACTGCACAAAGTAATATTTATTGGACACTTACTGTATAACAGATGTTCTACTATTTCTCTAATTTACCGTCCACGGATGAGGAGGCACTGCGGTAAGTGCCATTTTATGCCTTGGGAAATTGAGGGTCCAAGAAGTTAGTAACAACGCCGGCTGGCACAAAGCTGGTGAACAATGAATTAGGAATTCCAAGTCAAGTCTTTCCTACTCTAAGGCTGTGTGTCTGTCACCACCGCTCTGTCTTGGGTATATGTCACTGGGTTGTCATCTTACTGTGATATTTCCCAAGGACAGTTTCCAACAAATAGCAGTGCTGGATACACAGGGTGCCATCACTGCCCCTGGCGCCCCATCAGGGGACAATGAAAGTCAGTGCATGGTCCCAGGGTGTGTGCTTTAGCAGAAGTCAGGTTAATATGTGACTCTGTGGTCTTTATACTTCCTGTGGAGGCCAGTCCCTTCCCCAAACCGAGGCTGGCTGAAGGTCAAGATGACAGGCAGGCACACCCCAGCAAGGTGGTTCCTCCAGGCCACACACCATGCCATCAGCTGCTGCTCTGCCTTAAGGACAAGGGCTGGGGTTAATAAGTCAAGGTGATGGGGTTGGGAGCATTATGGCAAGTCCAAACTCACTGCTAATTAGAACAGATTTAATAATACAGTTATTTTCAGTATTCAGAGATGGAAATTTTTCTTCTTTTGTTCATCTGATCTTCATACCAACTCAGATGTCACGAAATACTTTTTAACTTGTAATGCTTCAGGAGAAGTCAATGGATCCTTTCATCAAATGAGAAGATGACCTGGCCTTTCACCCTACTCAAATGCTTAAATTTTAAAATTCAATTCACTGAAGGCATGGCTTTTTTTTAAATTACCTTTGCTTGCCATTCTTTTTCTGGGGGAGTTTGAGTAGTACTTATTTACAGCTCCTCCCCAACACCCACCCACCCACCCACCCCCACACACACACAGAGGCATCTATGGGAGTTTAACCTTCACCTGCGATGTGCAGTCGTGAACCACCCGCTGTGCTGGAGCTCAGAGCAGGACGCCTGAACAGACATAGGTCATCCTCCCAATAACGTTATTAGATAATGACAATCATCCCCATTTCACAGAGGGTGACTGTGACTTAGGGAAACTGAGCCTCTTCCCTGCACCACTCACCAGCCACACCATCAGGTAGGAGAAGACAGCAATCCACAGGGTCGCGGTGATGAAGGTGACCATGAAGAACTTCTCCCAGCGGGGCTTGCTGCAGTTGGGGATGGTGATGCACAGGAGGAAGATGAGGGGCCAGGTGAACACCCACTTGGCTTTGTCTCCTCTCGACTCTGCCATGGGATGGGGTGCAGGCAGAGGGGGGAGAGAAAGACACAGCTGGTTATACACCTGCTAGTCCACCTGCTGGTTTATTTTTTCAAGCCAAACAGGAAGACATGACTGAGTCACTGACTTCGCAGAATCACAGACTTCTGGAAGCAATCTTAGCAAGATAAGTCAGTAGACGTTTGTTGTTTGAACAACTTCAGTCAGTCCGAATCCCTCATCTGACAGGAAAAGGAAAGTGAGACTCAGAGAGAGAATGGACTTGCCTTGGGGAGCTGGAATAGGGACGCAGAGTGCAGATGGGCTTTGCAACCAGACAGTCCTGGGCTGGAACTCAAGCGGCACTGAGCCATCCCCCTTCCTCACTCCCTCCTCTGACAATAGAGCTGTAAGAACAACTCACAATCTACATGGGGAATGTTTGCCACACATAGCAGGCACGGTGCTAGGCACTCTGCATCCTCTTAGTTTCATCAGTTAAATGGGACCTTTAATGCTTCCTTAGTTGTCGCAAGAAAGGCATGAACCAATGTACACGCAAAACCCAGCACATGGAGCTCTGCACACAGTCGGTGCTTTGGAAATCTCAGCTCTTTTGCTCCAAGGTCACACACTCAGCCTGTGGCAGACACAGAACTAAAATGTGAGTGCCCTGGCAGGCAGGTATTGTTAAAGAAGGCTGGCAAGGTGAGATGCTCATCATGAGCACAGTACTTTCCAGATGCCACCCCCATTTCTGTGTCGCCAACATTGCAGATGCCTTGCACGACAACTCCCAGCACGCTGTGAACCAGAATTCCTGAAGAGAAGGCTACTGGGAAGGAGAGTGAGCTGTGTCGCCACTATGAAAGGGGAAGAGAACCAGACTGCACGTTGGTAAACACTGGCCCTTGGTTTCACACCACACCCCATGGTGTGTACGCTGCTCTCTGGCCAGTTGACACTGGTGGGATAGATAACATCGTCCTGCGGCGACCCTTGCTGCATCCATACCTCGCCAACTCTCTCTCTCTCTTTCTCTCTCTCTCTTTGCACTATCTATGGAAACAAGTCCTTTTGCTAAGCTCCTTTTTCATTTCTGTTTTAGGGTCTTATTTTTTGTTCTCAAGCAGAGAGGATGGATAGGGACCCACAAACCAGTCACCCCCTTCTCCAGGTTTGCACGCTTTCAGTACAACCTCACTGGCCCCTACCACGTGAATTCAGAAAGAATTCATTTCCTCCAGCTAAAGAAAAGTGGCCTGGATCAGCCACTGAGTGGAAACATAAGCCACTGAACACAGTGTGTACCTAGAAGCGCGAAACCGGCTTGCTGGCGATGCCAATGAAATGGAGGAAGGACATCTAAAAATCCTCCAAAAAGCAATGAGAACACCAGCAAAAATGGTGAGAATAAACATTTTTCAGTACTCTGGAAATTAACCAAAGGCTTACAGCAATTCAGTGTCTGGTTAAGAAAATAAGCTGGGTCTCTTTAAGAACAGGGAGCTTTATGATGCTTTAACTTGTCCTAATTTCATTCTCTCTCATTAGCTCTAGAGTGGCCTTGAACCAGCAGTTTGGCATCCAGCAGAGGGGCAGGGCTGGCTGAGTTCCCTCTAAGTTCATTGCCAGAGAACTGCCATTATTTGACCTGTTTGGTGGGGTCCTGTCAGACCCCACTTTCAAAGCGATCTTACTTCACCTGTGTCGGAACTCACCCAGCATGAACAGCCTTTTCCTTGGCGCTACAACAGCGTCATCCCCATGGAAAGGGGAGGTTCCAAGTTCCCTGCCCCACCGAAGGAAGGGGTGGAGCTGAGCAGCAAGGGGACGCTAGAGAGGACTTGGGAGAGAAGGCTGGAGGGAGACTTGGAGACGCATGTGGAGCAGAGACGTGTGAAGAAGACATGTCTCCTGCTCAGCCCTGGACATGCCCCAGCAACTTGGGGGACAAGGAAGGAGACACTTGAAAGAGACATGGGGAGAGACCCATGGGAGGCTGACAACCCACAGAACAGGAGAAAATATCTGCAAATCACGTCAAGGCCTAATGCCCAGAATATATAAAGAAAATTGACAACTCAACAATTAAAAATCAAACCAAAAAGGCAAAGGAATGAAGAGTTTTCCAAACAAGACATGCAAATGGCAAGTAAGCATGTGGAAAGCTGTTCAACATCTTTAATCATTAGGAAAATGCGAATCAAGACTACTTCACCCCCCACAGGTATGACTATAGGGAGCTAGATAATAACAAGCTTTGGGGAAGATGCAGGAAAATGGGAACCCTCATACACTGCTGGGTGGGGGGGGGCATAAACTGGTAAGCCACTTGGAAAACATTCTGGCAGCTCATCATTCTAGCCACACAAAAACTCGTACTGATGTTCATAGCAGCATTATTCGCAATAGCCATGAAGTAGAGACGATCTACGGTATCCATCAAGTGATGAATGAAGAAAATGTAGTCCAGGGCTTCCCTGGTGGCACAAGGGTTAAGCACAGCACTATGCAGCCTCTGCAGCACAAGTTTGATCCCAGGCCGGCCAGGGAGCTACCCACATGGCGCAGCAGACCTCTCCTGTCTTGCCCACTGCTCCCCTCAGCAGTGATTTCAGTAGATCTGCCTGTTCTGCTCCCCACTCTGTCTCTGGTGAATCCTCTTACCCCCAGCACCTCTGGTCTGTACCCCAGTTCTTGTATGCATGAATAAATAAATCTTAAAAAAAAAAAAAAGAAAATGTAGTCTATAGGAAATGGAATATTATTCACCCATTAAAAAGGAATAAGTACTGATGCAAACTATATGGATGAACCTAGAAAACAATGCAAAATGAAAGAAGCCAGTCACAAAAGGCCATCCATTTACATGGAATGTCAGGAATAGGCAACTCCAGAGACAGAAGTAGAAAGTTCTTGCCAGGAGATGGAGGATCAGAAGGAGGGAAATGGGAAGTGACTGATCATGGTCTGGAGTTTCTTTCTGGGGTAATGAAAATTTTCTGGAATTGGATAGTGGTGATGGTTGTGCAACTTGGAAGATACTAAAACCCATTAAATTATGGGCTTTATAAAGGTGATTTTATGGTATATGTATTATATCTCATTAGAAAAAGCAGCAATTGGAGAGTAGGCTGACAATAACTGTTTTGACTCCATCTGGGCTTGAATTACCCTAAATCACTAAAAGGCTATTACTAAGGAAAAATAAACCCCAGCCTGCTGATGAGACGAGGATACAGTTAGCTCAAAGTCAGTGTCTATCCATACATTCATCTTAGATGCTGCTTCTAGAAAAGCATCTGCCTTCCTAGTCTTTCTCCACACACCTGTCTGTGACTTGCAATCCTTGCACGAATGGCAGAATGTTTGCCTACTTGGTTTGTGCAAAAATTCTGGCTCTTCCCTTTTCAGCCCATTCTGACTGACCAGGGTGCCGGAGAAGGCATCGGGCACTCCCAGAAAGGACTGTACACCAGTGGAGAATGTACTCTGCAGGTGCGTAGCCCCAGACAGTAAATGCCCAGGGCTGTCTGCAGACATACACTGAGGTAGCAGCAGAAGGATCATTCAGGTATTTTTTCAGATACCAAATTGCATCGGTGTTGGTCTTTTCACTTGGTGTGGGTTTTGGGTCAGGTTTAGAGATCTATCCTGATCTGCCCCATCCAGCGGGCACATCTCACCGCCCACTAAAGACAATGCTCCACCAGATCCCTTCTGTAGCTGTGTTTTTTGATTTTAAGATTTATTATGCATACAAGAGCTGGGGTGTAGGCCAGAGGTGTGTGTTTGTGGGGGGGGGGTGGCTTAAGAGGATTCACCAGAGACAGAGTGAGGAGCAGAACAGGCAGATCTACTGAAATACACTGCTGAGGGGAGCAGCGGGTGAGACAGGAGAGGTCCTCTGCGCCATGTGGGTGAGCTCCCTGGCAGGCCAGGGATTGAACTTGTGCTGCAGTGGCTGGAGATAACTTGACAGAGCTGTGCCTTTAACCCCTGCGCCACCAGGGAGGCCCTGCGGCTGTGTTATTGAACAGCCGAATCAGACCACTGGTGGATGTGATATCAGTTAAGTGGTTGGCAACTAGCATTTTCTTGGGGAAAAAAAAAAAAAGGAAACATTAGAGCTATTGCATGTAAGAGTTAAATATTATTCCATGAGACTTGTTTCTTTTTTATGGAGAGCTAGGTGCACATGCACACATGTGTGAAATATTTATTACCATGGGTACAGGTGAAGGGTGGAAAGCTCCCACGAAGCTCACTGTGCCCCAGCCCTCAGGCCCCCCACCTGTTTTCAGCTTCCTCACTGTTCTACCTCTCCTGGATGGACTTTCCTCATTAACCCAGCCCTTGGTGATCTCTCTCCTGTAATGGCTCTGAATTTTAAGAACATTTATGAGTTACTGAAACTCTCCCCAAGCTGACCTATGACCTCCCTGCCTGATCCACATACCCCCCTCTTCCAGATGGGGTGCAAATACAGCCCATAGCCGCTCCCAGTGCAGTGGGGCTGTCTGCACCATAGGCTTAGGAGGAAGCAGCGTGTGGTGCAACCTTCTAACAACTGCAATGCATGGTTGATGCTTGGCTGTTTTGTTCCTTAATTGTTCTACATATCAAATGGCAATGATCCAAGGTCAAGGACCATGCAGGCGGTGGGCAAAGCTCTGGCATCTGAGCTGCATAGCTCACAGGCTGTGGGTCGCTGGGCGCAATCCCCCTGTGCCTCATTTCCTTACCTCAAAAGAGGACTGTGAAAATATATTGGGGGCTTGGGAATAAAACAGCATTTGCCACAGACAGTTCAGAGGAGTCTCAGCAAGTGGCACGTCTATCAGGGCTGTTATCAATGACCCAGTTTCTGATGTTGTGAGGCGCTGTCAGGCCACGGCTCTTGACTTGACTTGGGACATACGTTCCTATGTGGGAGTTTACAGCCACGATGCCAGCGGCTCACAGGCAGCGGCCTGCTGGATCCTTCCATGCTTATGCCCTCAGCAGTGCCCCAGCCCCATTC